ATCTCTGTACCCATAAGATTTAAAGTGCAGAAGGCAGGGATCCATTAATTGTTATGCTTCAATTGCCAATATTAAATGTAATGAATAAATTTTTCACACTATGAGCAATGCATCTTTAATTTGTTAACAAGGCCACAAATATGCCCTAAAGACCTTAGAACCTTAAAGAGCAGTCAGCCTTCACTTAATTGTTTCACAAATAGAATCGTGTTTTCTTAAATTAAAGCACATTATGAATCACTTAAAAGGCAAATTAATGTAACTGGGCATTATAACAAGCTCAGAAGTTGTTCAAAAATATTCAAGTCAAAATCACAGGCACTTTGATTTTTTCTGTGAACTTAAACGCCAACAGTGATTGACGGAGTAGTATTAGCATGTATAAAGACTGTCTTCATTAGCTTGTGTTAATTTACATCAGTAAATAATTCGTTTTGCTAAATGATATGAACAGGCAACAGGATGGAGACAAATGATACCACAAACCTCAGGATTTTTCAGTCTATATAATGAACATACATTTTAGATTGTAAACTTCATTGTATTGGATGCATTGATTTGTAATGTATTGTATGCATTTGAAGAGTGACCTACTCCAAACACACACCAAAGGCAAAAACAAAACGAATAGGAGCCAATGATTCTAAGCCTTTACAAACCAAATTTTTTAAAGATATTCCTTCCATCCTTCTATTCAGTACTACAGTGTTCAAGATATAACCACCCTATGCTGTGAAATTAATTTAAAAGTCAACTTAATCGTTATCAATACTGTACAAAACTTTACTCCTTCACATTACACCCTACACTAATTGTTGTCAGTACATCCTTTATTTTCCACATTAAAGGCTTTCAGAAGACCCATAAAAATTTCAGGCACCATTAATTTAAATTTGCACAAAAAATTCCCCCTTGACAGACAGCCAAACACTGCTTATTACTTAGAGCACTGGTCCTGCCCGTTTGCACTTTAAGAGAGGAGAAAAGGGAAAAATTAAATGCAAGAGGAAATTTATGTCATGTTCATTACCTGCTAAATGTTAAATGGCATTATCCTGCATGAATAAATTATTTTGTACAAGGATTCAGTCTGCAGCTGTTGGGAACTGGCACATTCTGGTGCTTGAACATCAGTATTAGTCACATGATGTATAATCATAAAAAGCCTCTCCTACATAGAGCCACTTAAGAGACGACAGATCAATAAAACAAGAGACTAACTGCTACTTTGTGCATTGCTGAAAACATTTAAGGAAATTAGCAGGCTATTGTAATCTGAAATGATGGCAGTAAGCTTTTCATCCTAAAGTAAATCATTGGATGAATCTTTAAACTCTTGGTACCAAAATATTTTCCCTTTAGATATACCCCAGCTTTATATTCTGAAACAGAGGAGCTAATGTAAGTGCTAGTTCAAGTATGTGTTGTCCTGCAATTATCAAAACAGCACGTTTTCCACCAGGTCAATTTCTTTCCATGTTCAAAAGAAGTGATAATACTGTGAGCATTTAATAAGAGCCACCACACTAAATAAACAAAACCTCAACATTTGAAATGGTTGAACCACATTATCTAATCAAGTTTATTTCTCGTCAAAATCATCCCCATAACCTACATCTGCATTTGTTTTTGAATACAAGACTGTTTTCTCTGCCAGTCATTATCCCACAGACATGGGACTCGCACAGTATTTGACATGATCCAATTAAAAACAAAATTAACTATCCACACCCCCACCTATCCAGCACTATAGTCTTGTCTATTCAGAGAAAGCATTCTCCAGCTGACTGACTGTCTCCATTCACTTCTGATTTAACTCAATTCTGAGTTCCTGTTCCTCTCAGTCGTAAAGGTTACTCTTTTTATGCCAAATAATAATAATCCTTGTATTTGATATAGCCCTTTTCATGTCTTCTCGACGTCTCAAAGCGCTTCACAGAATATGCTGTAAAGTGAATTGACCGTACATTTGTGGGCGAAACGCAGCAGCCAATTGCGCACAGCAGTGTCCCACAAACAATCGTGGATTGAAAATAACCAATTTATTATTGTTTTGTTTTGGAGGGATTATTATTAGGTGTGTGGAGTAAGGAAACTTGCCCAAGGTTTTGCCCTGCCGGGAATTGAACCCAGGTGTCTCGCTTGTAAGGCGAGTGCTCTAACCACTGAGCTACAGGACTCCACATCTACAGTATAAATAGAGCACTCAGGTTAAATGGATCAATGGTTTGAGGTGCTGTCTCCAGAGGTACTCACCACTCCCTCCTGGCCTCTGGAGGCTACAGCACTGGAGGTGGTTTAGATTGTCATGTCCTGCACAGCAATTTCAGTCTGTATTCTTAACACTGCTGGTAGGATCCCCAACACGAATAACAACTGCATCTATGTTTCCAGTTGCAAAATCTCAAACTGTAACTTCCCTTTCTGCAGTATCAGGAAGGTCAGTCTAGGCTAGCAATGTAAAAAAAATGGTAACAGTGTGGCAACGATTGCAGTTAGTGCCACCAGAGACAACGATAGTTACCCTTTATCTTACAATCGCAAACACTGCTTCCTTCAAAGGTGAGAAGCAGACCCACCTCTTGGTGCAGTGATAAGTGCCGCTAAAGACAGAGATTGAAAAGGCACTCATTGAGGAAACGTCTTCATAAACTTCGGAATAATCCTGGAAAAAACGTTTGACGTACGTGGATGAGACCTAGAAGAGACTTTATGTTCCAAGGTTGCTTTTTGTGGCATCAAATTCCAATTTACACTCCAGTTTTCCCAATGAGCACTTTTCCAACCCCATAGTCTTCATGTCACTCACATAGTTTACAATGCTAATGCTCATTTTATACCGGTATGTTGTTGTCAAAAGGACACAATTTTGGTAGAGAACTTTCTGATTCTCTCAGCGTAGTCTTGCCTCACCTACCTCTTCGACCACACCCATCGTTACCTTCCCCCCTTTCCTGTTTGGCAACTGCCCCCACCACTGTAAGTGCTCTAAGACATTATTCTACATGAAGGGTACTAATATAAATGCATGTTGTAGTAATTCACCAACAGTGAAAACCACTACACACACACACCCCAACGTAAGTCAATGTGTCTCTCATACACACACACACACACACACACAGCAACAACAAATTACATTTGTACAGCGTCTTTCAGGTTGCAAGGATGTACCAAGGTGCTGGACAGTCAGGGATTTAGACCCATGCAGGGGGTTGGGATCAGGAGGGGTGGAGGGCAGGGGTAGGAGGGTGACCGAAGCCGCGGTCGAAGAAGAGACGTGCCTTGAAGGAGGCAAGGGAGGGAGCAAGATGAAAGGAATGTGGGATAGAGTTCCAAAGGGTGGGGGCAGAAAGGCTGAAGGCCTGACTGCCAATGGTGGGGTGGGCTGGGCCAGGGACAGAGGGAGCAGACACAACATAAAAAAGACCAGATTCAGAATATTTATTTTACAAAAAGAAATTTACCTGTAGATGTATCCTGTATTACAAATTGCTCCAATTAGAGTAGGTGAGCTGGGTATTAGTCTCAAAGTAGCTGCAATCACACTTCTACAGTCTTCAGATTTGTTCTATAAACTGTTAATGAGGTTACTTAAAAACTCATTTACTCAGTGTGCATGCAGTTAAGAGAGTTTGAGCTCCTTCAAAAGCTGGTTTAAAAAAACACAGGAACACTTCCAAAAGTCTCAGAAATCATCTAAAAAGCATTCATAATCCCAACACTCATCACCAATATGCAAAAATGCACAATTTTAATAAAAGTACTGCTATTTTAAAATGTAAAGTACATTTGCCTTCTAGGTTTAGTTGTACACAACTTCAGCAGGTTACCAGTGCTACCAGGATCTAGCTTTTAAACCTCAACATTTGGCTTAATTTGTCAGAATAAAAATACAAAGTAAAAAATAAAATGACTTAAATTATTTTTTAATAAAAATAGCCACATTTGCATTCTCCTAGAACAGCTGAATTTTGACTACAGGATTTGCTCTTCTTTAATGAATAAAAGCTTTGCAAACTTATACTAAATAGTAAGAATGCAACAAACAAACAACTGCAGCATTTTACTCACCCAAGTAAACAACATAAGGTCAAACATTTGTGCCCCATATCATAATTCATGAGCAATTCAAGTAATTCACAATTTTGTTTTTGCTATTTATTATGTTGGACATAAGCATGTGAGCACGAAGTATAACAACAACTAGCCTCAGTGTATTATTGGGATTATACACAGATAGATATCGACCAGCTGTGAATTACTACCTGCAGTCAAGCAGCCAGTCTTTAAGAAACATCGAGCATCTTTCATTTCTGAGGCAACATCAGTACAATCCACACAATACTATGAATATCCAATGGAAATAGCTGTTCTTGCAGTACATTTATTCAGTAATAATGATACTTTTAGAATTCAAACCTTAGTTTTTTTATGTCAACACATTGAGTTATTTTTGCTCGTTTTTTTTCCAAAAAAATTATCTCATTGCATAATTAAACATTAGTAAAGTTTCTTTGGAATAAAACCACTGAGCTGAGCAGTTCTCAAAAAAAAGATTAACTTAAAATTAGGGACCAGGATATAGAAGCCTCAGGCATAAGTTTAAATGGTTGAGACTGCAATACATGAATAGATTTTTGCTTATGACAAGGACCTGCGTCAAGATCATAAGACATGGTGAAAATGCAACTGAAAACAACAACAATTTACATTTATATGGTGCCTTTCACATTGCGAGGACATCTCAAAGGTGCAGGAACTGCACGAGAGCCTCAATCTTGGTGACAGTGAGCTGCAGAAAGTTAGAACTCATAACAGTGGCGCTACAATGGAGGATAGTACCAGAGATGAGAGATAGAGTTGGGTGTCATCTGTACACATGTGAAAGTGCACCCCATATCTACAGATGATGTCACCAAAAGCAGAGAAAGGAGGGAATCGAACAAGCAATCCAACCTTGATCCTTCGTAAGAAAGGAATAGTCAAGTCAAGCTTACCTTTACAGAGTCTCTGTCTGCTTTCGTGGCAACCACAGTATTTGATGAATGAATGAGGTCACAGGAAGTGCAGATGGGAGTGAAAATTAACAAAAACAAATTAGATCACGAGTGATAGCCATTCCCCCTCCCCCCAATCACTAGGCATGACAATTCTTACCCTTTAGTTACACTGGCAAATATATACTAGTCTGACTCCACACCGAAGCAACGTTTTTTGTCATATATGGGTGTCTGCTATCAAAGTGGAGTGAATGGTGGATGCCCCATTTATGAGTCTAAGCATTTTAAAGGCACCAGCTCATATGAAGTTGTTCATTTTATATTAATGGCCAAGTTCATGAACAGAGATGGCAAGAATTGTTAACATAACTCACATTATAATGCAATTCTTGTTTTCCTAACAAAAGTCCTGATGATGACTCTTAGGGATACCACAATCATTTGGCCGAACTGAATGCAATACTCTTGGGTTATGTTTATGTTGTAGAGCTTCTTCCATTCAAGAGCTCAGCTCACTAAAGCCAGGGGTTACATTTCCTGCCTCCAGAGGCACAGGGAGAGCCACCTCTCAAGGTGGCAACTACACTCATTGAATGACAGCAGCACTGTTTACCTTGTAAAGAAATGCAAACCATTTGTCACACTAATGACACAGCCCTTCAGTTAATAAACACAAAAGAGAATACACTCCAGTCAACCAGATAAGGTATTCATTCAAAAGTGTTTTCTACTCGTGTACTCGATGTCCATGAGGAAAAATAAAACCTGGCATCATGCCGTTTTCTTACTTGATTTATCTTGGAGAAAAGAAGCCCAGATTAATTAAGATTAGTTGATCATTAAGTATTTTATTCATGGGCTAATCCAACCCAGGTCAAATACAAATCAGTCCTTCCTCTTGGGCACTAACACACTGTACTGAAGCCTGGCAAAATAAAGCTAGGTATTAAGTGCTGGTTGGATCAATTCAATTGCTCACTGGTTATATTTGGAGGCAGTGTGAATGTTCAAACTGTGTGCACAGTAGGAATTAAGTGTTACTTATCTTTATCTTCCCCTCAAAAATCAGTGCTGCACTACAGTATGCATGGTACAGCTGACATAAGCTTGGTGTGTATGGGAGGGGGATGGCGTGGCAGCCTCTAGGATAAATAAAACGGTGTTGTTCCTCCAGAGGTACTGACAGCCATATTCCAAAGTGGGTCTCGATCCTGTTTTCAGAAGCACCAATTCCACAAACAATAAAGTAAACTGGTCCCTCCCAGTACCTCCGGCAATTTGGTCACCACATTTTCTTGCCTGTGGGTGAGCTATTTATTTAGCTTTACAACATAAACATGGCTAAACGGTAACTATGCCAAATCTGCTCTTAAAAGAGCGAGTACAGACACAACCAGCCAAACAGCCTTTTTCTGTGCTGCAAATTTGCATGGTTCTACCCTTCCAATCTTTAAGCAGCAATTTTTTAAAAAAACAAATTGAAACGGTTTCAAAAGATTCAAGTTTTAAACTTAAGGAGCTATGTAAATTACATGAAGGAATTAAAGTTAAAAAGGTACAAGTATTCATGGTGATCAGATTATAAATACACAGAAAAGATGTTTACAGTACAGCTTAGTGTTAATTACAGCACAGCTCCAAATGATATATTATTTGAACTATTCTGAAACTTACTTGGGTGTGAAGTGATGATGGGGAAAGAATCACAATAAAGACAAGGATGATTCACTATTAAATTGGCTCTGGTTTCTGACTGTTGGGTTTAATTTTTTTTACAGTGTGCCAATGAAATCCCTGCACAGGATACCACCCACACACTTTACCACTGCATCCTGTGAGGTGTTCAGCATTTGACGGGTGCAGCATGTACGCGATTGCCAAAATGTATGCAACTGGTAACAAACAAGCACTTGTTTGCATGACATTATCACATTCAATCATCAACAACCCTGCCTCCACTTTTGCACCACTCTTCCCACCTCTGGAGGCACAAGCTGAGCACATTATCAGACTAAAATTCAGCAATGAGTTTTAATCGTTGCTCACCTCTTTGATGATCTGTATCATGATGCTTTTTCTCATCTTTCATGGCACTGGACAGAGCCAACAGGCCCACACTGCTCCCAACAGTGGAGATTCCTGGAGGCTGAAGCCCAGATGGGTGTGGAGTGAGAGGTATTGGGAGTGCGTGACCGTGTGACAAATGTTGGGCCTGTAACTGCTGCTGCTGCTGTTGAGAAATAACCTTGCATGAATACAATGTAGGAGAAATTAGGGGAAAGCCAAGTACAAGAAAAGCATATACTTCCACATTTTACATTTTAAATTTCAATTGTGCAATTGAAGCAGCAGTATCTCCCTTTGCTTGGCTTTTATGGACCAATTTGAAAGTGCTTTGGAGGCTCATTATGTGCAGATATTCCCGTTTGGTAAAATTCTTCTGCACAGACTGCTTGCACCATTACATACACTTCTTAAGATAACAGTAAGGTCAATGCTTGATTGAAGCTGTACGATTATTTCATTTTGATCAGCAATTTAAAGTTTGAGGGAATAAAAGTCTATTAGTGACCCAGTATCTATATCAGTAATTGTCCATGGTTAAGGTCCATTAGTCAGATTTTTTTAAAAAAGCACAGATAATTTTTCCTTCAGTGTCTTTTTTGTCAAAAAAAAGGCAAAAATCAGGGGGAGGGGGCAGGGGGGAGAAATTTTACACAGTAGGGAAATTTGATGAAAATTGGAATTAACAGCCATATTGTGCACCATTGCATATAGTTACATGGCACTGCACGAACATTATGCTGTTAGCACATTGCCGGAACCGGGTTACTTGCACGTGCATTGTACTCGGCTCTCCTTGCCAGAAGCAGGAGTGCAGGAAGGCAGGATTTTGAATGCGCACAAATTCTCAGATCCAGCTGACCTGCACGGAAATCACATCAGGCGTGCCTTCCTGAACCCAGTTTACATGCAAGCGTATATAGCTTTGTACATGGATTTGCAGATCCAGCATTGCAGCGAGAAGTTTCGGAATGTGCAGATGGATAATACAGCAAAAATGCCAATTTTTTCAATATTTTGAGGTATTGGTTCATCAATTGATTTTCACCCAAACACTGAGGTTTTAATTGGTGAAAATTGATTTTAATGGGCCTTTACACGTGATTTTAGCAAAAAATGTTTCAACCAGAATAGATCCAAATGGGATAAACGCTGGTGACACATAGCCAGTAACATAAATGAAGCTTGTGTACATTTAGCAACAGATTCTATACCTGTCCCTCTTACAATATTCCAACCTCAAAATTGTCATAAGCCAATGTACAGATAGACTGGTTTTGATTTGCAGTCCATATGATTTGCCTGAAATTGTATGTTGCACCCACAAAATATACAGTCAATTCACTTTACAGTATATTCTGTGAAGCGCTTTGAGACGTCTCGAAGACATGATAAGGAGTTATATCAAATGAAAGGATTATTATTATCTTTTGTGGAAAGATACTGCAACTTCAAAAAGGCTGATTATAAAATGTTAGCAGAAGAGAATGTTTCAAAGAAAGAAAACAAATCACAGAAGTACAGTAGTTAGTCATGCAAAATATAGCACAGAACATAAAAAGGCAGTTACACCAATGTTTTAGAGTCAATTATAGCAGTGACATGCTGAACAGCATTCAAGTGCCACAGAATTCATACTGTGCACAAACTGCAAACACAATAAAGAATGTGTTACTGAAGGAAGATGTATTAAGAAAGATGCTGACAAAAAGAACTCTCATTTCCTCTCCACCCCCCCCAAAAAAAGTAACATTGCACAAATACTCAGCAAACAGATAGCGAGTACAAAATCTATCCTCTGTGTTAACTGCACAGCAGGAGTTAATTTGTGAGAAAAATGAATTAAATAACCCAGAAACAAACCTAGCTGCAGCCACTCTTTAAACCCCTCAGAGTGTCCTTAGCAGTACTTCAGCAAATTACTAAAGGAAATCTGATGTAGCAGAGGTGCAGGTCCTTAGGCTTGCTCAATAATGCTGAAATAATTGCGTACTCTGTGCACGTTTAGTGATGCTCGAATAAAAGCTAGAGGCCTGCCCTTGTACTCTTTGCTACCCGGTGAGTCTATGTTGTGACAGGTTTATTTGAGTGGGACTATGATGCATGCACTAGTAGCTGCACTGACAAGAGTTTAAAGTCTGTTTTACCAGTGCACTGGCAACACATAGAAAAGCCCTCAAGAGGTTAGTATTTGAGTGCTTGACCTCAGCCAAAGCTGCATCAAGCTTTGCGCTGTACTAACCATTGTGGGGTAGATGGTTTGCTGCTGCTGTCAGGGGAAAAATAAAATGTAATGCAAGTTAGTCCGTGCATTACTGAATATATAATCAAACATACTATATTACGATCGAAACATCAACATACATTAGATATCCATCATAGCATACTTGTTTTATAAGCAAGTTTAAGTGAAATAAATAGTTTAAATATTAAAACTCTCCAATTTCAGCATGACTACAATTGCTTCATTGAGCTGTAGCAACCAAAAAGAGGAGGTTTCTCCTAGCCAACAATCCTACAGATAAAACCACACAGTCGTGGTTGTTTGTGGGACAATGCCGTGCGCAAACTGGCTGCCACATTTTGTCTACAATATTGACTACACTTTACAGTAAAATTGCGTGAAGCGTTTCAAAGACATGATAAGGCGCCATGCAATTAGATTAGGATTTAATTTAAAGGCAATTTATTTTACTGAACCAAACAACTAATTTCCTTAATAAAAAAAAATTCAAACTGCTCCCATCTCAGGCAATGCAACACCAAGTGATGGGTTTGGGAAATAAACACAACATGAACACTGAAGAACAGCATAAATTTTGTTGGCTGTATATCATACTCTGAGGCACAGCACTGTCTGATCCATTTACAAAAATTTGGAAGATTAGCATGCCTTTTCCAAAATAAATTCTTCTAGCAACATAATTTTCATGTAACCCAGTGGCTGAGACTGTAATACTATTTTAAATATTAAAGATGTACACCTGCTGTGACCAAGGCAACCCACCCATTATCCACACGTGAACATCTCAAACTTTTTACGATATTAAAAAAAATCAGTCAATCCTGTGTAACCTCACCTCTTATTGGTGAGAAGCAGAAATTTAACGCATCAAAAGATCAGAGTTTCATCACAAGGAGGAAATTGCCTCTGTTATTTTGTGCTGTGTGAAGCCATTTCCTCCCTGTGGAATTTGAGTGTGGCGACATAAACATGACAGAAATGGAGGTTAATGGGCTCCTTTATATTTAGTCGGTTGAGCGAGACAGCAATTCATGGGACTGAATAGTTGAGCGAAATACTGCCCTGAAGACATGGTAAGGCGCAATGCGTCAGCAATCAGACTGACATGTGTGTCTGGAATAAAATTTCATGTATACACCCCTCCAAAGTATGGCAGAGTTCTAGTGGTCTTTGGGAATACCAGCAGAAGTTTGATACAAGGCAACACATCAGTCCAGTTCAATCAAGATCAGTCAGAGTACAGTATTTATACCCATAAGATAGAATTACCCTAAACAGACAGCCAACCAAACCTATTCATTCACATTTTAATCATTCAAAATTGCAATTATATTTTTTACACCAGAATAAAAAAACGATTCCTCCTTCCTTCCTTGTGAGAAATGATGTAAGAAATCATTTGTTACATTAGTTTATACTTAAGTGATTACTTTTGAAATATGTAAAACCATTACGACTGAAAATTTAAATATTTGCTTTCTAATCATTTCACTTCACTAATTTCCCTACTTGTAAATTATTTTGAGGCACCTTGGGATTGACCTTATCAAAGACTCTTGATATTAAAGAACTGACAAGAAGGGTCTGGATTCCTTGTGTAACTGTACAACCAGGAACACACCTTAGAGATAAATGATCCTGCAGTTATTTGATAGATCTACTCAGTCTGTATTGAAATATTTCCATTTATCATCTGCCACCCCCCACCCCTCGATAAATGTCAAATGAGTTCATTTAATAAATGTGAACTCATGTTCCCAAAATATTTTGGGACTACAGGGCTTTAGTGTTCTTGGGAAATTAAACCTTAAGTTGCTAGAACTTTGGGATAGTAATCTAGTACATACAAACTTTTATTCACAGCCAGATTTATTTTAATATGCAAACTTGGTTAGCAGCCTATTATCCTCAAACACTGAATGGCCTCTATGGTGAGTTTTTAAAAGAAAAAAAATTATCTTCAATGATTGAAAATTTCCAAGGGAGGAAATCTGGACTTGGTACCAATTGCATTCTCCAGGAGTGGTGGTAAATGAGACACTTGTAGCATTTCCATCACTAACTTATGACTTGAATTTCATAAATTTGTATTAGTAATTGATAAATATTGTAAAACCAGCAAATTGTCTGCAAAGCGGGGGTGGGGGGGCGCAACACAATTAGTGCAATTAAGTAGGCTCCCAACTGTAATTCTCTAGTTGCAGAGGTGAAGCCATTGCGTGATCCTAGATCATCCCAAAACTGGTACAAAACTGTGCAGGTTGTGTGCAACAATTCACTACCGCGTTTCGTCCACAAAATATATAGTCAATTCACTTTACAGTATATTCTGTGAACCTTTAAGATGTTTCGACGACAGGATAAAGAGCTATATCAAATGCAAGTATTATTATTACATTTGTTTCCTTTTCATCAATTTTCTCTCCCATCTTCCTTTTACTGCAAAGTTTACCTAGTTTACAGTATATTCTGTGAAGCACTTTCGAGACATCTCGAAGACGTGATAAGGTGCTATATCAAATGCAAGGATTGTATTATTATAGGCGCTCAGTGCCCTTTGCTGCTTCACCTGAATATCCATTATTCCTATTTCTGCCAGCACATTGATCTTTAATACATAATTTGACTGAGGTAGTGGGAAGAGAAAACAGGGACATGAATATGATCTTGTTCTCATCCAACAGTGGTAAATAGTTGATGTACTAAGAATGGCAAGCCAATCTGATTTCCCCCTCCCTAATATGAGGCGTAAGCCAACAGTTTGCATGCTTCGTCACCTTGAGAATAACTAACTTTGCACAGATCAGCGATTAAATCCGAGATCTTTAGGTCATGTACTTTTTTTGAGTAAACCAAACCTGCTGAACTATCAGGATAGCAAAACAGATGCATGTAAAAGCATTACATTTTCTGATACAGATGGAAAGACACCAAGTAATCACTAATTCTTAATGAATTTTGAATGAATGTCAAAACTTGAATGACCTGATAGTTGGTTCAACACACTGATACACCAAGATAGAGAGAAAATGAGGAAGAGAATGGGAGTGAAGGAGAGACAATGTTTAAACAGCAGCACTGAGCACAGGCTTGACGTTCAGATGAGAATGAAGCCAAATTGACCTGGAAAGACTATTTTCAGAAACTTTCTTTTGCACTCTCCTGATGTCTTACACGGGGCAGGCAATGAACAACCCGACAGATCAAAAGCAAACATTTGGGAAATAAGTGAGGAAAAGAAAATGACAAACACAAATTGGGACAGGATATAGGGGAGGAAGATAACAAGAGAAAAGATTGAGCACACAGAGGGAGAAAGTGAGTGATAAGACACCCAGAGAATAAGTGAGCAAGAGACAAAACTGGTTTGTTAAGAACATGCAGGATGAGTTAGAAAACTACATGTTCATGATCGACAACCCAAGGTCTCAGCAGCAACATTTATACAGTAGATATTTCCAGTAAAATATCAGGAATTACAAATAATGTGCTCTAAGCTGTCCTGAACGCTAATAATAAAAGATTTGACAAATTGTTAAATACAGCTTTAATTTTAAAGCCTGTTTTCTACGATTCTTTTAAGAACCACGGAAAAACAACTTCAAAATCAAGACCGAATTCAACAATTTGCCAAATACTGGATATTCTAAAATGCTACATAATTAGAGTAAATCTGGACCAACATGTAATCTCTCCCTATAGAAGTGCTGTAGCAATTTGGGATTGGTTAGCATTTCATGAGGTGGATTTTCACTTTGCCCTGAATCTTTAATATCAGGGAGAAAGGATTTATTCTTCCTCCCATTCTCTCTGCAGAAATACATGCTACAACACCTCTTTATCTGACATTTTTACCTCCCAACACTAAAACCTTGCATTAGTATTTTTAAGGGCAGTATTCAGTAGATATATTATAATCAATTTCTGATCCCAGGCACTGCTCCTTTTAGTTAGAAACCTCTGTAATTGATCAAAGCCAGTTGATTTTCATATCAACCTACACTGATTTTATTGAGAAGTTAGTAACTTTTTTTTAAAAAATAATCTTCATTTAGGTGACAGATGGATAGAATAATATACTTCAAGAGTGCTAACAGCAAGAAATCAGATGTGTAAATAACCTCAGCCTTAAGATTTAAAATGGGGCAGAATTTTGTAAAACAATCAAATTCTGGCCCAATTTGAAAGCGGGTTTTCCACATTTCTCACCAAAATACACATGTTCGAACATTTTAAGACAAGCCTAAAAACATGCAAATTTCAAGCTTCTGGATTCTTTAGTGGATCTTCAATTTCAAACTACTATTTTAGAATGACCAACTAATATCAAACATTGGCATCTGCCCTCCTTCATGTCTGCTAGGTGACCATTTAAAAAAGTTGATTCCCTTTTCTCACAGCAATCAATGTATGCTGCTGAAAAATACAAATCGCCTCACCTTAAAACTTTTAATCAGGGTCAAATCAAAGGTGCCCACAGTGAGAAACACAGGATAAGGTGGTAAGAAATATCGGTCTTAGGGATCCTATTTATTTATGGCATTTCGAGACCACACCCATGTCCTATGGTCATATGCTATTTTCCCCTCCCTCCCACACATTTTGATTGCTGATTGAAGAACCTTTCACGACCTCAAACATCTCCTATGATCAGTTCATTCTGTTAGCAACCTGTCAAATATTTGACACCATCGTCCTGCTTCTAGAATGCTCCTGTTATAAACAGTGATTTTAGTGTTACTATGATCCTCACACAAGGTGTTGTCCATTCTCCACTGCCTGCCTACCAGAGAAGATGGCATAGATACCTTCGCTTCTGCTTCTTATTCCTAAATTTGTCTTTCTGTTAGACAATGTAAAAACAGTGCATTAGCTATTAGTGGAAATACTGATCCATTATCGATCCATTTACTCTAGATCAACTTTGTGGTTAAACATACCTTTCGTTACATGGTAATTTGCCCTGTAAATTCCTTCCATGTATACAAGATCACAATTTAAGTATTTGGGGATAATTGTAGATT